GCACTTCAAACATCATTAATACTTTAAAATATATACTATCACTATATTTTTTTAAAGATACAATCAATAATGCCACAGTTAAAAGAATGCTCCATGAAAAAATATTCAGAAAAACGGTCCACTAAGTCGAGAAATTCAAAAAGTAACATATTGTGGATTTACAATTATATAAACACAAAAAGATTGGGAAGAAACATGTCTGCACTATACTAAGGCTCCAAAGTTTTAAATTCAAGCTCAACTGTAGAAGTTTTTTCTAAAATCATGAAACATGACTTTTTGACTGCCAGTGAGTTATTCCTTTAGTTGTTAGGAATATCCTCCAAGAAAATCTAAAATATATTTTGTTTGAATGGACGTATTAAAAACTATTCAATAACCCTACCAGCCCCTGTGCACCTGTCAAAACCTAAGGTACTCTTATTTTAGCCATTATATTAACTATACCCAATAACAAAACCAACAGAATGGTTGTGACAGTCATTGAAGCTGTATTTTTCTCCCAAAAACTTAAAAAACCTAAGGTAATCATATTGTAGCTATATAATAAACTGCACTAAATACTAATAAAACCAACAAAAATGGCAAACGGCTGTGACAGTCATTGAAATTTTATTTTTCTCCCAGTAGCTTTTGTTCATTGGAATGCATGCACCACGTTGGTCTGGTGTATACACCCTATTGATATAAGTATGCATGTTTATTTGGGCAAAAAACATAGATATTACAGTATGAAATGAACTTCTAATTCCTCCATGAATGACTCCTAAGATGGGTCTTCTAAGTAATACATCATTAAAAAGGGGGTTGCAACCTTTTTCACTGGACAAATCTACCACCATGGGAAGCTGCATCCTGTTTGCTGTAAATGCTCAGTTCATAAAAAAGAGCCCAGAGCTTACTGTTTTGCCCTGACCAGCTGCTAAGATCACATGTGAATCTTAACCCTGGCATCACAGCATACATGAGCCTCAGTTCTTCTTTTTGTGTGCAAGCTTTTACTGCAAAAGGATTCTTATACCAGGAATGACTATCATGAAGTGCATGTGTGCGTAACTGTCTTTCAAATTAGACCATTTTTATATAGTTTTGTACTGCAACTGCAGCAATTTCCCAGCATACATGCTGTTTTCTCAGTTACATTGCTATTCACTCTCTGCATTCCTATTTCAAAACTTTCCACATACTATTTACACTAGCCTACCTTTTGTAGCTTCCCCCCATACTGTCTGCATTTCCTTCTCTTGCACAGTTCCCCCACTGTGAACATTACAGCCTAATTATGTCTTCACAATGTGAAACACTAATTTCCAACCAAATCTTACTCTGCAATACTGCCTGTTACATGCATCCTCATTCCTTATATTTTATATGTTACCTTAACTTGGAGCCCTGCTCCAAGTCTTGTCCTGCTGTCTTGTCACCACTTTTGTGTTTTCAGTGTCTCTGGCATTCTGTGCTCCCCAGTCTCCACAAATGTTGCTTTTTGCAGGAGCCTCACTGTGCTAACCTTGTCCCCTACAATTACACTCAGCCCATCCAGTTATTTTCACTCTCACTCCTCTATACTTGGACTACAATTAGCTCTTCATTTCCCACTCCCCCTTCTAGTCTATCATCAAAAAATGTATGTATATAAATGTATGGCTTTATTTAACTGTATATTTAGCTGTTTGGCTAAAGTCCAACTTTACAGCAATATCAAGTATATTTAAATATACTGACATAAAGCAAGTTTACTAATGGCAGCATGCTGAGATAAAAATGAAAAAGTATCCATAGTATATAATGTCCTCATTTATTGATCACACCACAGCACTTACATGCTGAATATAATGTTACAAATACAAAATGAATACATTGGGGGTGATTTACTAACCTAAACAGGTGCGTGTGATTTTCACACACCAAAACTTATTTATCAACCAAAAAGTCTCTAAAAGCATATTTCCACTAATGCCATATATGGAGAAATCATGCACACGATGCATATATAATGCTGCTTCACAGTTTAGACAAAAATGGTTAGCTCATGCATTCCTGCATTCATCAACGCAAGCAACACAACATAGAGCTAATTTACACAACATCACCTTGCAATTCATGCAAGGCTTTGCACAGCACACCTGCTGGGTGTGTACACACTACAAAGGTGTTTAGATTCCACCCATAGATCATGCTGGGAGGGAACACACTACAGAGGTGTATACATGTTCGTGGTGTGTTTATAAGGTTAGTAAATCAACCCCATTGTGTAATACATTTTTGTATCTGATTTCGGACCTAAAGCTGAACTACATATGCATATATTGGATTTTTTTTTATCTAGTAAAGGATTTGTATTACTGCCTTCCCAATCCTGGAATTTAAATAGCCCTGTCATCCAGCCAGCTAGTCAGCTTAGGAACTAGGAATGAGCAAAATTAAGAATTTTCATGTCCATAATATTTTAGGGCCCAAAAAAATCAAGGAATTTCAGTGAAATTTCCCCAGTTTGGCAAAATGCAATAGAGACAATAGAATAAGGCAAATATAAGTTTTTTTTGCAGGTTTTAAAGGTGCAAAAACTTTAAATGTACACTAAGGGGTTGGTAGAAGCTTTTTTTCATCTATTTCCAAACTTTTTTCAAAAATACCTCCTTTTTAGTCTTATTATTATTATGGTACAAAAAGAAAAAAAAAAACAGACAGTAAAATTTAAAAAAAAACAAAAGCAACCGTACATAATGATCAAATACACACACACAGAAAAAAAGGACATTAAATTAAATAAATTAGGCTACCCTAAATACCCTCAAAAAATGCACCCTCTAAATAAAGATATATATTTTTCAAGTAATGTTTGGCTAAGCAATTCAGTCGAAGAAATGAAGAGGTTGAAAATTTTACAGCAAAATCAATTTCTTTAGAACCACTCTGCTTATCCCTGATGACCAAAACGTGCTGCAGTTAAACTACACAGATAAGTCACCTCCCAGATCTCAACCTGTTATTGGACAGTTAAGAAGAAGCAATAGACTGATAAGGTAATTTCTATGCTCTTTCCTCCTCTCAGTTCCTCTCAGCACATGTATATGCAAACAAAATTGTTTGGTGCTGTGCAGTTGACATCAATTCAATCCAAAACAGATCAGTTAGTTTAAACCTATATCTTTTTAGTGGGATAGAGTACATATATTGCTCTGCATCACATCTTTTGGCATTTTTTTCTTGCACTATGAGAAAATTCAGATTCATACAGGCACCAATTAAAAAATGAATGTGCATCACTTTTAGCAACAAACTACTCCACAACACATTGTTGTGCATTACTGTGCATTGTACTTTAATGCATGTGGGTCCCATCAAAAATGCCTATCACTGCAATGTGCTGATGCTTGTAATGTGCATTACAGTAACTTTGGCATTACTGCATGATTTGGCATTACTGCGTGATTGCAACAGTGTGAGTTGGCCATTAATCACTGGATCTAGAGAGTGTTTTAACATAATGTTTCTACCGTGTTTCCCCGAAAATAAGACACTGTCTTATCTTTTTTTTTGGCTCAAAAAAACACACTAGGTCTTATTTTCGGGGTAGGTCTTATATTTTAGCAATTCCCAAAAATAATACTAGGTCTTATTTTCGGGGTAGGTCTTATATTTTAGCAATTCCCAAAAATAATACTAGGTCTTATTTTCGGGGTAGGTCTTATATTTTAGCAATTCCCAAAAATAATACTAGGTCTTATTTTCGGGGTAGGTCTTATATTTTAGCAATTCCCAAAAATAATACTAGGTCTTATTTTCGGGGTAGGTCTTATATTTTAGCAATTCCCAAAAATAATACTAGGTCTTATTTTCGGGGTAGGTCTTATATTTTAGCAATTCCCAAAAATAATACTAGGTCTTATTTTCGGGGTAGGTCTTATATTTTAGCAATTCCCAAAAATAATACTAGGTCTTATTTTCAGGGTAGGTCTTATTTTCGGGGAAACAGGGTACTGTAGGTCACCTTTGCTTGTGTATTTTTTCATCATACACTCAGTTTGAATTGCCCAGATCTAACAGACTTAATCAGGAAAGGTTGACATATAACTATCAATAACTGTGGAGGATTCCTGGATGAGTGGTAAAATGTCTTCAGCATAACAGAACAGATCCAATTGAATGTGACTAACTACTGCTAGTATACAATGGCCTAAATAAATTAAATAATTCACAGACATATCCTTAGCTATACAAACTAATGCATATGTGCATAGTTTGTATGTTCTGTCAGTATTATCTAGCATGAATCAAGTAGATGTGTAGATGTGATCTGTTTAAGCACATATTTCTAAACAATATGATGTTTACCTTCTTTATTTAAAACCAGTACATAAATGTCTTTTGGCACTGATGAAAGAGAATACAACCTAATGCTTTGGGAATTTTAAAGACCTGAATTAAAAAAAGAGATGTTCTACATTTTTACAACATCTAACAAATGTGCTGGAGTATTTCCAATGAAAGATACAGTACTCAGCCGTAAAAGAGATTTTCGTTTGAGAAACACAAATTTATCAAATCCATTTTCACTCAGACTAACCAAATGGAATCAGCTAAAATTAAATTATTAAAATACAATATATTATTAGGAGTTAACACCTTTTTCTTAAACATCCATTTTAAACTGTATATGTCATGATGTGCAGTAAACAACTCTCTTAGGACTGATTCTTTTTATTGTTTATCCCTTCTTCATCACAACTTGCCATAGATTTTTAAAAAAAACATGATAACCAGCTGGTGATGTATGGAAACCATAATTTCAGTAAATGTGGTTTTCCCCCTGTATTAAAATAGAATTACAGTGATTGGAATGGAATATAATAGATACAGCTCTTCCTAAATGACTCTATTAATATACAAGACAGTGTCATCATTACAGCTTTACCATTCTCGCTGAAAAAAAAAAAACCTCCTTTTTGTTTAACATTCAGATAATGAAATACACATCTGGTATTCTGGTTACCTACCTGTTTTGGGATCAACAGAGAAATACGGCTGTCCTTGGAGAATGCTGTATACAACTCTGGCACTGTTTCCATATGTAGGGTCATCCCCATCTGTAGCTGTCACCTGAATAACAGAGGTACCTGCACAATTAAGAGAATTGAACTGTTAAATGCATGTTTAAAGTGGTTGCTATGTTATGTAATGTTGTATTACATTTTGTAACACAACATATATAATCACTTGGTAATGAACAGTCTTTTCAAGCCTATATACATATATGTGACTTCAATACTTAAGTCTTTGACAAAGAACAAGCACAGAAACCAGGAAAGTCAGAGGGAAATCAGAACTTTTGATGTCAATACTTGAACTGGGTCAGTGACTCAATGTACTAAAACATTGATTCAGCACGATAGCTTGGCAACTAATATTTCATAGAGAGGTTAGCAATAGTACCCTCTATACTTTGTTGAAGCAGGTTTTTTAAAGGCTAAACTCCAGAGAGATTTACAATACACAAATAATGCAGCTCTGTATTGTTTATTACATTGTTTTAAAGAAAACAGTGTAAGCGCCTGAATTTCACTTGTTATAAGCCTTTTGCACTGCAAGGAGCATGCTGACAAGAAGACAAAGCAGAAAGACAAATACATAAGCTCATCAGTATGTTACTTGGGGGTGGGGAGAAGACCTGTAAGTGTTACTTTAACTGAAGCAGAAACATAGGTCTCCTGCCCTGCAAGACAGGACTTTGTGGTATGTAAATCCCAGAATAAGATGGATAGAAATACATGTATTTTGGCAGGTGAAAGAGCTACATTATATGTATTTTATCTGGGTATTTAGTTGTTTATATGATGTTTAGCTTCAAAAGCTCAAAAACCCTACTAACCAATTGGGGCAACAAAAACACATAGGAGTATATAACTCAGCTGTGAAGAACAGATGGACACAACCTGCTGAAAGAAAACAGACTAGAGTCAATGTGTGCTAAATTTTAAATATACAGCCCAGTGCATGTGCTGAGATAAGGGTGTGACCTAACTTAACAACACCAATATTTCAACAGCATATTCACTATGGTAAGTAAAAGGGCTGCAGTTATGTTTTATATCCTGAAAGTGAAATAAGTCAGTGAAATACTACAATTTACACACAGCATATTCTGGGATCCCATATACCCAGGACACATGCAAATATAGGGGTCTATTCACAAAGCTGCCGAAGGATCTGGCCGTAGCTTCGGCCGATCCTTCGGCTAGCTTCGGCACCAGGACCCCTTCGGTTCATTTCTGCAACACATATTTTTATCTGTAAGGTCATGCTAATTTTAAGTTGTTGTTCTTCAAATAGACTAAACTTGGCTGTCTGTGACAATATGGGTGGAGAAGGTGAGATGTCATGTGCTCTGTAAGCAAGGGTTATATACTCATTTCATCTGAGCAAGCAATTAGTATTGCACTCTCTGAGTTTTACTGATAAACATTAGTGATTGGCAAACTTGCTTCAGTTCAATTCATGGGTGCATGTGATAAAATGCACTGCAAAGTTTGCCAGTTTCTCCATTTTCAAGGCTAATAGGTAAAAGGTTGTCAAAAAATGGCATAGGGAGCTTAGGGAGCTGGACACTGCCTTGGGAGACATGTGCCAAAGCAAAAAAAATAATATATATATATATAGTTTAGCGGAGAAAGACTTTCCCCGACTTCATGAAACTTTGAGGGTAACATGGGAAAAACACCAATTCTTCAAATTACATGCTACAAAAATGGCTTCAAGCTATATGTGGTATTATAGAACATTTTGATTTATGGGCACAACATCAGTGACACTGTACCCAGGCTTCACATTCTGTATGTGTAATACATTATTCCTTGGCTTACATAAAGCAACCATATCCCTATTTGATTAATTTTACCTCTAAAGTTTTTTTAGGTAGTTTTTGTTGTAACACGTGATTTTTTTTATCTAGCAGTAATAGTCACATTTGAGCATTTGAAGGAGTAGACAGAACAGATCTAACAGCTATCAGAAGGTTTACACTTTGAAATACAATAATGTTAATTCCTTCAAATGCATAACAACTGGCAAACTGTGGCAAAACATTTCATGTGAACTTTTTTAGTGCCACACCACACTGTATTGTCTACAAAGTTTGATAAAATGTCAATGCAGAGTGCACAAAACACTTCAAAACTAGAACCTCACATTTCAGAAATGAAGAATTGTTATGAAGAAATATAATTACAGAGTCATATTTCAGAGACAATAGTCAGACATAATGCATGATGGCTTGATGCTAGCTGTTAGATTGGGCAGCAGTGTGAGAAGGAGAGGCAGGTTTAAAAAAAACTCAAATAAAAATTACAGCAGATTATGTCAGAGACAAAAGGCAAAATATTGTAGATGCACAATAAAAGAGGGAGAGGCCATTCACTTTTTATCCAGAAATAAAAATTACAGCAAATTTTGTCAAAGACACAAAACACTTCATGTAAGCCTTTTCAGTAGGACACATTAGAAAAGAGAGACAAGGCATTTTTTAACCCAGAAATAGATAATGTCACAGAAATATTTCACAATCACATGTAAGCCTTTTTAGTAGGCCATATCTAAGACATTTAAAAAAAAAGGTATTTTTATAGCAGGCCTGCAGGTGTGGCAGGAGATAATAATGATGGTAGGAAATTTGAATGGATGGCAGGCCAGAAGCAGTGGCAGGAGATGGTGATGTATGGCAGGCCAGCAGCAGTGGCAGGAGATGGTAATGGATGGCAAGCCAGCAGTGGTGGCAGAGGAAGGTAATGCATGTCAGACCATCAACATTTGAAGGAGATAATAATGGTGGCAGGCCAACAGCGATATGTTGTATGTTGACTAGAGATGTTCAGATACCAAGTACCGTACTCATTACAAGTACACGTACATGTACAGATACTTTTCCAGCTCCAAGACTAGACTACAGAAAAAATCAGAAGTTAGGAGGCAGCTGTCATTTTAGTAGGCCACATCTAAGAAGTGAAAATTAGTTTTTTTATCTAGAAACAAAAATTGTATTGGATTATGTCAGAGACAAAAGGCAAAAACATTATGCAGTCAGCATTAAATGAATAGCAGGCCAGCAGGGGTGGCAGGAGATAATAATGATGGTAGGAGATTTGAATCAATGGCAGGCCAGCAGCAGTGGCAGGAGATGGTGATGGATGGCAGGCCAGCAGCAGTGGCAGGAGATGGTAATGGATATCAAGCCAGCAGTGGTGGCAGAGTATGGTAATGCATGTCAGGTCATCAACATTTGAAGGAGATAATAATGGTGGCACGCCAACAGCGATATGTTGTATGTTGACTAGAGATGTTCAGATACCAAGTACATGTACATATAATTTTCTAGCTCCAAGACTAGACTACAGAAAAATTCAGAAGTTAGGAGGCAGCTGTCATTTTTAGTAGGCCACATCTAAGAATTGAAAAATTTGTTTTTTTTTATCTAGAAACAAAAATTGCATTGGATTATGTCAGAGACAAAAGGCAAAAACATTATGCAGTCAGCATTAAATGAATAGCAGGCCAGCAGGGGTGGCAGGAAATAATGATGGTAGGAGATTTGAATGGATGGCAGGCCATCAACAGTGACAGAATATGATAACAGTTGCATGACATATTAACTGATGGCATCAGTGGTGGCAAGAGATGGTAATGGTGGCAGGACAACAGTGGTGGCAGGAGATCATAATAGATAGCATGCCAGCAAAGGTACCAGGAGATGGTAATGGTGAAAAAGCCAGCAGTGGTGACAGGAGATGGTAATACATGGCAGGCCAGCAGCAGTGACAGGAGATGGTAATGGATGGCAGGTCAGCAGCAGTGGCAGGAGATGGTAATGGATGCTCCAGCAGTGGTGGCAGAGGATGGTAATGGATGTCAGACCATCAGCATTTGAAGGAGAAAATAATGATGGCAGGCCAACAGCGGTATGCTGTATGTTGACTAGGGATGTTCAGATACCAAGTACCGTACTTGTTACAAGTACATGCACAGATACTTTTCCAGCTCCAAAACTAGACTACAGAAAAATTCAGAAGTAAAAAGGCAGCTGTCCTTTTTAATGAGCATACAGAGCTCCTGGGATTTGTGCACCCTTGTTTTAATGTATGTTTTTATATAAAAATATATAAGTGATGCACCAATATAATTTTTTCAAGTACAAGTACCGATACTTGTCCAAGTACACACATATAAAATAGTGATAGTGGTGGAGCACCAGAGCTAGGTCCCAGCTGCAACCCCGGTAGTACACATGAAAATTCCAAGTATCGGCACTGGTATCTGAACTGGAATCTGAATATTCCAAATGTTGACTATAATGACAATAGCAGCTATGGTGAATGGGGGATTGAAAATGTGCTGTTTTGGTGCACTTGACACATTGGTGATTATGTGCAGTAAGCTAGACTGCAATAGTGGGCAGTGATGTGCTGCTAACAAAAGGCCGCCAGCTTTAAATGTGTCACCAACAAGTTCTTACCACCCAAAAATAAAAAATAAAAGACCCTACAAAAATAAAATACTGTATGTCAACCACCAAAAAATAATAAACTAAAATCCTACCCCTTCCCCCCAAAACTAACACAATAGATCCCAACAGAGTTTTTGTATTTTTTGCAGAAAAAAATATAAAACTAAGAAAAAAAGTAATTCCAGCAGCAGCTAAACAGCAATAAATTACTAATTTAATAAAATACATTTTTATTTTTCCTTTAGTGTTTCATCTATTATTTGTTGAACAGACAAGTGATATTATTGGATTAAAATAGTACAGTAATACAATATTTTCAGCTTTGTTTTTAGATTTGTGTCCACAAGCAAGTGAATGCTCCAACAACTCTATCTGGATCATTTGTCAGTTCAACAGCAAAAGATGGTGGTCTATACTATCCACCTTTGATTTTTTTTAATTCTGAGCATCAATTTAATAGTCTGTACCCCTTTGTCTGCCAACCCGTTGGACAGAAGATAATAGGAGCTTGATGTGTGGCAGAACTCCAATTTTTGAAGAAAAGCTTGAAATTCCTGTGAGGCAAATTGGAAAGAATTGCCTGAAATTAGAAAATTGGAATCCACATGTCTGGTAAACTGTGTA